GCAGCCGTAGTGAGGCAAGAAGTAAAGGAAGGTCGCCATCCAATTTTGCCGTCAACAGATCCCTCACGCTTCGATCTCCAGTCACCATTTTCAATCATATCCTTAACAATTTCAATTGTGTTACCAGGATGCTATGCGATTTTGGCTATTCCGATTGTTCTGTCTCAGGTATTTTTAACATAAATTGCCCAGTAGTCCCACATGCTGCTTAAGCCATCTGCCATCCGCCAAGAATTTTGTTTGATCTACTTATTTTGAGGTGATTTGTCTAGGTGTGCCTCCACCTCAGCATCCATCTCAGCAAAAAAAGGCCACGTCAAACACAGAGGAAGTGCTTATGAGCGGACTGTTAAAAGCTAACGGAGGGATGGTGCCGGTGTTAACAAAAGGGGTGATTTGCCACTGCAAGTGAGTTGAGGGGGTGATTTGCGCGTGAAGTGGGTTGATGGGGTAATTTGCCACCAGTTGTTGAGTTGAGGGGGTGATTTGCACCTTTTGCCAATATAATATGTGTTGTATTGAATTTAATAAATAAAAAATGTTTTGTAGATTGAATTGAGTTTTCGGTTCAATGGTTGGTTATTAAGCCAAGCACTTTAAAAAAAATCCTCCATTCTCGAAATTCCCTCATGCTCAAAAAAAAAAAATTTGTAGATTAAATTAAATAATATAAGTTATTTGATAAAGTGGTGTTTAATATTTATATCTAATAGTTTTTTATTATAATTTTAATATTTTTTTTGTAATATAATATAATTTAAATTATATGATAAACTCTTTTTATTAACCAAAATTGTAATTTTATTTGAAAAAATTTTAACATTACCGTCAAGTATTGAATGGTGGGTTGTTATGCCAATACAAAACCCTTTATTGGGAAATTGTGTGATTTACAAAGCCATGACTGCAGCAGAATCGTCGGACACCATCAATTGAGGTACCAAAGGGGTTTAACTCGATAGCTTCATGTGCTTCCTACCCGTAGAGGCGATTGAAGTCCCCGTCAGACTCTGCAACCGTGAACAAAACACCATCTCCAGGGGTGTAGCGGATGATTGGCTTTGCAGCATGAGGTGAGGGTCAAGTAAGATTGCCAGCGAGAGAGAGAAAGTGGGAGAGAGCAAGAGACAGAATTCTTGAGTTCGGGGAGAATTACAGAGTTGAAGTAGTGAGGGTCTGAGTTAGGGAGGTGATAGAAGAAGAGGTGCTCGACAGGAGCCAACTTGAACCAAAATGTGTCGAAGAAGATAAGTGGGAAAGAGAACTCAACGGCAGAGGTGGGAGAGTCAGAGGATGGAGCGACTTTAGAGACTTCAAGAAATCTCAATGATGCCATAAACTAATGCGCAGAAAACAGAAGGTACAGTCAATAATTGAGTGCTCTCTTGCAATTCATGACGGCTTTTTAAAGATTGGGAGGCTGACACACAGCGGCACAGAGGCCTTTGCATGTGTGGTGTTGGTGGAGGAATATATTCCATGCTGTCTCCATGAAATTGAGAGAGAATTAGATGCAAATCAG